GAAATAAAATTTTGAACTTAAAAATGCACTTTATTGCCCCGGCTGGGTGGTTCCGTTGGTTGGAGCACCGTCTCGTGCACCAAAAGGTTTCGGATTCAATTCCCTGTCAGGGCACATGGGGGAGGCGACCGACTCTTCTCTGTCTGTCTGCCTGTCTTTCTGTCTCTTTCTCAAATCAATAAACATATCCTCAGGTGAGGCTTAAAAAATGCACTTCACCACTGATGATTTCCTGCCTCTTTATGAGAACAGAATAAAGCCAAGGAGCGAATGCAATGTGGATGGAGACCGCAGGGGATGAGCAAGGCAGCTCCCGGCACGGTTCCCACCGCGAGCCCAGGAGTGTCCCTGGCTCCTTGTGCTGACTGAAGGTCTGTGCACAGAGTGGAGGCTTCTGCCAGGCCCAGAAGTCAATGTATATCACAGGTTGTTTTTTTTCTCTTTGCCAAGAAAAACAGCCATTTCTTTCATACCCAGACTTGCTGGAACAAAAAACACCCACAACATTTTCATCAACATTTCTAGCAGGAAGACAGAAGATCTCAGCTGTGGCAGATTCTCAGCTGGTAGTAACGGAGACTTGTAATTTATTTGGGAAGCCCCAGACAGCTACATAAAAGAGAAATCAGTGGCACCGGGTAGGTCCTAATACGCAGTAGGCTGTACATGCTACACAGGTTGTTTGTACTCCGCCCTGCAGGACAATTACAATTCTCACGGAGGAAGAAGTGAGTTTCAGGGGAGCTAATTTGCATGTTTAGTGGTAAAGGTCAGGTTCAGACTGAGGCCCAGTGGGCCCCCAAAGTGCTTGCCTTTGACCCACATCCACTCCCCATGTACATACTAGCTCTTTGCTTTCTTCCTCCACAAAGGGCGGGACTTGGGAAATGAGGAGCATCAGAATCTTCGCCAGACTTAGGTCCAGAGACCCAAGAGGAGGCCAGGGCCTCCTAGGTACTGATGCTGTGATGCAGCCTGCTTTGGACATCCCTGGGCCATTAGCAGGCTATTTGGTGCCAGAGGAAGAATACTCATGTCCTGTATGACTGTATGCACACTGTAAATCCCTGTTGCCTGAGGACGTGGTTCATTCTGATGTACTTTGACCCCCACGTAGGGCCAGATGGCATGCACTCTGAGACTCAGACACAACAGGCCTTCAGGAAATGTCCGATTGCCAGCCCGGACTCATGCTCACAGAAGCAGGCACAATGAGGTCCACGAAAGGAATGCCTTGTAAGGTGGGCTCTACCCATCTGTAATATGCAGCTTCGATTTGCTTGTCTTCAGAACATTCTGATATTTAGGGGGTAGGGAGCCCTTGAGAGAGAGAAATTAAGTAGCTGTTTTTATTACACGTAGAAGTCAATGGACCTTCACAGTATCACTTTCCATAGATTTATAGAAAGTTCAAGCACAAAAAAAAAATTGGGAACTATTATCATGTTGTGTTTTGACTACAGGTGATTAATGACCTGAAACGAATGAGTTATCTTGTTTATAAGTTTAAAATGAGCAAACAGTGTAGAGAGATGGCTTAAAATCTCATTAATTTTAAGCTGCCTCAACAGATGTAGCAAGTCCAGAACTCAGGATTTCACATCTGTGCCTCAGACAGTGTGTGTGAGGGTGACGAGACTAGAATCTAGGGCACAGTGGTCAGGGGTAGAGAAGGGTAGGATGCACGTGGGTAAGAAAAGCCTGCAAGAATGGGCCAAAAAGAACTCAGGAAGAAGGAGCATAATGTTTGCTTTCAATTATAGTACCTAAAGGGAAGAGAGATTGGATGTATTGTGTGTGGCTTCGGCAGCTGAGCAGTAGGCCAAAGGGCGGAAGAAAATGTTGGTTTAGTACAAGTCAGAACTTTCTAAAAATGAATCTCTCCTAGAAGGGACTGGCCAGCAAGGAAGATTCCCATCCGATTCCATCAGAGAAAAGGTGGGCCGGCCCGTTCCCAGGGAGAGGTGCTGATGTGGAAGTCGTATTCCTGACAGACCAGCCCAAAGTTGGCCATCATCCCAGTCAGCCACTTTATCGGGCACATTACTTACATTAAATACACTGTTCCAGGTTGAAAAAAATCCCTTGAACAAAGGCATCCTGTTTTGCCTCACTTACACAATCAGTGGGGGGCTGACTCCTGCCTTTCCAAATTTCAATTCCTATCAATTCAAGATTCACAAAGTGATTAGGCAAATTGAACACTCATGTTATTTAAATCATTACGGAAGAGACTATAGGGTTTTTTTTTCCACTAACTTAATTTTGTCCCTTATCACTTATTTTGACAAGTGATTTTATTATGTTCCTTAACATAGGAGGAACATATGTTAAGGAACATATTTTGTTCCCTATTTTATTTATGTATATTCTTGTTTCATTTTAAAAAAATTTTTTATCGTTATTCTAGTACAGTTGTGTTGAGATTATAGGTTTGTTTTTTTTTAAAGAAGAAAAAGGATGGTTTGGATCGACATATGAACACACTAAGAAATAGAAGTTATTTTTATTATTGACATGTTTTTAAAAATTTGTTCTCTAAAAGCAAACCACATCTCCATAATTGTGCAATTTACCAGTGGAATGACAGAGAAGCTTTAGCTTCAGGGGAGCAGATTTAAAAAATATAACCCAGGCCTTTTTTCTAAGCTCAACAGTCTGCTGTGCGGTATTCTCCGTTTTGCTCAGATTCGTCTTTACATTAACAACACTTACCAGCAGATAGCCAAGCAGGCTCGCCAAGTTGGACAGATATCAAGATTCGTTTCCATACCGGGTACTTCACACACTTGGCAGACGCAGGCCGCAAACTGGAGCTCCATTTATTGCATTGCGCTCTAAACATCACGTCCTCAGCTGACAAGACGCTCAACACGACAGTCCCATAGGTTACCAAGCACCATAAACATCTGTTAGCCCAGGCGCCAGAGACAGCACAGAAAAGGTGTCGGGTGTCCATCTGTAAGTGGTTTATGATGTGGAGCCGGCTGTTTAAAAACCAATAATCAAAAACGCACTCCCAAGCTCTGCCTAGGACAAATATTTGCAAGGCAAAATTATGCTCGGTTTGGAAAAAGAATGCACTCATGTCGGCACTTTGTCACTGCGTTTTATATACTCTCGTTTCGCACTTTGGCCCATTAAGTGCTGGCTTTCCGTGGCATTTGAGAGACCCAAACTGTAATTTCACTATGATATATTTACTCCAGAGGGAAAGCTGAGTGTTGACTCACCAACTTTCCATGCAAAGCATGCTCTCCAAGTCCATCTGAAGGGGAACCATAAATAACAGGAGACCCCTTGAAATCTAACTTGGGGCAGCTAAGCTTTGCTTTTCTCGAAAGGAAACAGAATCCCCAACCACAGAAAAGATGGAACCAACAACCCTGTCTGCTAAATCATTTGATTTTTTTCTATCCAGCATTTTAATTTCTGGAAATGTCTCAATACTAGGTACCTCCAAGGTCTACCCCTTGGCACCCCAGGGGAAAGGACATCCAGTGTCACCTAGCTAGAAACTAGCTTAGAACACCAGTTGCTCAGGGCACAGAGTAGCCACAACATCTGCGAGGTAAGGTGAGTGGCTTCCCGGGCACACACACCAGGGTTTCTCCCAGTAAACACTGCAGACACCTTCCAGTGTCCATGATGGACAGCAGTACCCCAGGAATTCAGATCCACAGCTCTGACTTGGGTTGGGGTCTCCAGCATTCTGTGTACACACACACACACACACACACACACACACACACACACACACACATTTCTAGAATCTTCATCTGCCTATGCAGGTCTCTTGAAAGTTCTGGAAATCACCTCCAGCCCTCTGCCCCTGAAAGGCACTGGGTCTAGCATTTTCAAGTCCATGGGACTTAGGTAAATCCTATTCGGGAATTCCTGCAACTTTCCAGACCTCAGGCTTCCTATTACCTTTCCCTGTCCCTTCCAAGGTCTCCTGGCTTTACAAACAGGCCGGGGCACCTCTCCGGCCCCCTCCTTCCCCCTGCACACCTACTGGCTCAGGAGCTGACACGCCTCCCCAGGCGCACACACCCGCACACGTTCACTCTCGTTCAGTACACAAACCCAGCGCCAGGCCACCAACACCCGAAGTCTGGCTCCAGCAAGCGTTCCTCTCTGGGTTGTATATAAAGCGCTCGCCCCCCAAACAGACTTCCCTACGCACCCTCAAGTGGGTCACACTGCCTGGGCACCCTGGGCGTCCTTTCCCTAGACTCGCAGCTGCCCCACTTATCGCAGCCCTCATGCCTCGGGCAGTTCTGTCAAAACTTGGCGCCTGGTTGATTTCATAACCTCGAGTGGGGGAGCTCGGCTCGCCACGATTTCCACCCACCCCAGCTCGTGGGGACCAGTCCGGTCGCCCCGACTTTGCTGACCCCGGCTTCTCCGGTGTCAGTGCTGCTGCCGCCACCAACGCCACCAAGGGCCGGTGCGCTTTGGGGAGGAGCGCACGGTGTAGACGCGCACAGCCCGGCGACCTCCCCTCTGCTCGGGTCGCTCCACTCTGCACCTCTCCGGGCTCAGCAGCGGCAGCTTCAGGGTTCCTGCCCGAGCCCAGCGGATGATGTCAAACAGAAACACTCGCAAAACTTTTACAACAGAACTATCTTCGGAGGAAGCCCCTCCAGGCACTGCGGGCAGCAGTCGGAGCAAGCAGTCAACGTAGGATGGTTCTCCTGACGCCTCCAACTCCCCGCTGCCCCTACCAGACACACACACACACACACACACACACACACACACACACACACACGACCACAACGTGGATCCGGTTACAGCAACCCACCAGCAGAAAACTTCTGGAGGAGGAGGGGGGCACAGCCAACCCCCAAGTCGCCCGGAAAAAACATGATCTGTGTTAAATACCTAAGACAGACCCCCCCATTTTCGTAAACCACTGGCGCCCCAGGGTCCACTCCCAGGCGCCCTGGCACAACCGGGGGAAAATCAGAACCCGACACCGGAACCCGCTCCAGTACCTTCGAGCCTCGCCTCCGGATTGAGAGCGCGGGTTCGCATCAGCGCTGCGGCCGAGGGCGCGGGGGCCTGGGGCCCGCGTGGCCGCAGCCCGGGGTCCCCGCCGCGCCCGGGCTCAGCAGCCGCCGCCGCCGCTGCAGCAGCCTCCGCCGCCACGGCCGCCGCTCCCTAGACCGCCTCCTCTTCCCATGGCTGCGCCCAGCTTGGCAGCTCCCGGGCTGTCAGGCTCGGGGAGAGGGAGGGGGCGGGGTGAAACGGGAAGGGAGGATGGGACCGGAGGGGTGGGAAACGGCGGCCGCGGTTCACCAAGGGTCACGCCGGGCCTGGCTCGCCGCCCCCGGGGCCTGGGCTGCGGGAGCGAGGGGACGCGGGAGTGCGGCGCGGCCGGCTCGGGGCTCGCTGCGGGGGCGCCGAGCGCCGTCCGGGCCACGCATGCCGAGGAGCTGCGAGGAAGCGTTTCCCGGCGCGGAGTTGGAGTTGGTGCGTGTCACTCTCCTCCGGGCTGCGCGGCTCCTCCTAGAGGAAAATATTGGTAGTTGCAGGACACTTCCTTCCTCTCCGCCCACCGCCGGTCCCAAAAAGAAGGCAGGACCTAAAAGAGCTCAAGGGCTTAGGGACGAAAGCTTACAGGAAAGTAAGCTACCCGCAAAAACGGGCCGAAAAACCAGCCGGATAGCTCAGAAAGCGTGATTAGCCAACCAAACATCGCCTCCCACCACCTGCAACCTATTCCCAAACTCCTGCTCACTGGCACGCGGAGAAAAGCTAGCTAAACGTAGGGAGGCCCTTATTTTAGAGCAGGGAGATGAGTTTGCCAAGGACGGGAGGCATGCAGGGAGTTCCGACACCGGCCGGCCGGCGAGGGGATCGGCCTAGCCTGTGACCTAGGGGACGCGTTTTCACCGCCTTGGTCGTGGACACAGTTCGTCCGTCAAAGGCAGGCCTGCCCACCTCATTCCACGGCAGGGAAGATAGAACCAGCTGAGAAAGTGCTTCAGAAAGTTAAGCATGCCATTTTGTAAAGCATCAAACTTCTTGTCACCACTTCTACGCAGAAAGTACAAAAGTCCAGTACCAGGCCGTCTGAGATCTGAAGGAGCAGCCAGCCGTGCTATCTTTTTACTATTTACTTTGTTACTGGCTGCCTGTTGTAACGTCGTTTGTCTAATAGCTTCTAACAGCACTGGCTTACTCAGTGACATATTTTTCTACAGGTCTCCCAGACACAAAGCCAAGTTTATACTAAGAAAAAAAATGTTCTAACAACAACTTACATTTAAATCAAGCTTCTTAGCACTAGAATAAAAGATCCCTCCCTGGGCATACAGAGTAGTACAGGGGGTGGGGAGGAAAATTCGGGAAGGCACACAGGACCAAGGACATTGGAGTGGCAGATGTCACAGAAGACATGCCTGTCTTTAAAGGAATCCGATCAGTGGAAAATTCTGTTACCAAGGGTCCTTGGCAGAATGCAAGGAGGAAAGATTCTGGAAGGGGTGTGCTCCATCACTGCCCCTTGCAGGAAGATGGCAGGGGGAGGGTGATTTTGAGATGGTCCTGTTCTGTCTCGCCAGAGGACAGTAAAACTTTCTTTCCCTAGAGCCTCCCCGAACCCCTCCAGGGCTGGAGATCGCTGCTTTGCCAGAGCAGTAGCAGTCTTACCAGGGTCTGGAGTTTTTTTAGAAGAGGAGTCGCCCACCTGAAGAAAGGTCAGGGCGCAGGCAGGCAGGACTGAAGGGTGGTCAGCCCAGGCCAAGCTGGTGAAAGGGCAGGAGTGGAGGCGGCAGTCCCCACCTGCTGACTCTGCTGCTGCTGAGGTGACCTTCCAAGTTGGCTCCCCAGACGCTGGCACTGCGGAGTTCCCTCTCTATCCCCTCTTCTTACCAGTTCCCTGCCCGCCCTCCGCCCCCACCCCTGCAGCTCAGAGGCTCTCCATCTCATCTAGGAGGAACCCTTTCTTTCTTTTGTTTACACCCTGAGATGATTTCAGGGCTTTACCTAAAATTCCTCTTTTCTCTGAGTTCAGCGGTAGCCTGCATTGTGTGGGACAGGAAAGCACAGTGCTCTGGCTACCGCTCCGACCTTGGTAGAAAGGTCACATGCAGCCCTGGCTGGTGTGGCTCAGTGGATTGAGTGCAGGCTTATGAAACAAAGGGTTGCTGGTTCGATTCCCAGTCAGGGCACATGCCTGGATTGCAGGCCAGGTCCCCAGTAGGGGGTGCATGAGAGGCAACCAAACATTGATGTTTCTCTCCCTCACCTTCTCCCTCCTTTCCTCTCTCTCTAAAAATAAATAAAATAAAAAATAAACAGGAAAGCTCTATTTAAAAAAAGAAGAAGAAGAAAAGCCGTATGCCAGGAAGACATAGGAAAAGACCCACTAATATAAAGAAGTCTGGAGCCAGAAGACACTCACAACGTGCATGAAGGGCCGTCTTCATTTCGAAGTCCCACGAATAACGGTCCCTGGACTCCATATGTGACTATGGGCAGATGTTGCTTTGTGTTTTCCAGGTTATGGGGGTGCATCGGCTCCGGAGTTGACCGATCTGTTACAGTGGAGGCAATACCAGAGCCCCTTCGCCTCCTGAAACCTGACATTGCACACACACGCGCCTTCCCCTCAGCCTGGAATATCCTGCTTTGTCCTTGACCTTCATTTCAGCTCAGTTGTTCCGTCCTCTCTGAAACCCTTCCTGGCCATTCATTCCAGCAGCTAGAATTAATTAATCATTTTTATATTTGTATTTTTTAGGCTTTTAGACCTACTTTTGTTAAATACTTCAGCGTTTATTGATATGTTTGTTTTTCCCATTCGTTATGAAACCCTTAATGTCTGTGCCCGAAATGCCCGTGTTAGTGCCGGGCAAATGGGAGTGTGCCCCTCAGTGTTTGAACAAAACGGAACGAAAAGTTGCACCTCCGGAATTCATTGCACCTTCGGAAAAATCTCTGCACAGAGCTGCCCACGGCGGCCCTCGCCATCCTCCCAGTCTGCTCACTTCCGCCCCACCTGGTCTGAACCCCGGACTCTCCCACCGCGATCGGATCGCTGCTCCGGGCTCCCTGGTCTCCCCGCCGCCACCACTGCCAACCAGGGGCTCGTCTAGAGGCGGTTACCAGCGGGATTCTTTTTTAAATTCAGTCACACTGTGACATTTCTCTGTCCAAAAGTCTTCAGAGTAAAATTCAAACTGACCCGCGAGGCCCTCCGTGAGCTACTGCGGTACCTCCATCCCCCACCTTGTCTCCTATGACTGGCCCCTCACTGGGTCACACGTTCTGCCTGGGGGACAGAATGCACGCAGCACACGCCACCTCACTCTTTCATGACCAGGCCGTGCCCTCTGCACTGGGGGCCTCCGCACTGGCACGTCCCCTGCCTCAGACCTCTCCCCCAGGCAGCCGCCCTTCCTTCCCGGGTCTTTGCTGAGATGTGCCTTGTCAGAGAGATCCATCTCCACAGGCCTTTTTCACCGTTACAGCCCGCCCTTCCCACTCTGCTGCACATCTCTGCTAGAAGGTGGCATAAAATACACACAGCATTTTAAAGACAAAACGGACAATTATAATGTGATTCAGATAATGCCTATTTAAGTGAGGAAATCTAGGAATTGTATCTCCCCAAACTATATAATTCCACAGTATAAACAGTATAAATTCCTTAAGCTTACTGTTAACTGGGGTGAGTTTTGGTTGAGGTGACAAAGCTTTTTCTCAAAAAAAAAAACACAGAAAAAAAAACCCAAATGACCACCTGAAACAGCATTTTGGGGCTGCTTCCTTTTGCAGCATTTGTAGTTGAACATGGGGGACTGGCAGTCAGGAACCTTGGGACACTGGGTGAGTCACCTGTGACTTCTGTAAGTCAGTCATCTCCCTCACGATGACTCCGTTGCTTGATCTATAGGGTGATGGCTTGCTGTCTGATCGTTTCCCCTGTAAAACACATGGCTAGACTGATTCAGATATTTGTTTGACTATAATTCTAGATATTTCTTTAAAGATATTTTAAAGATGGGATTAATAATTAAATCAGAGAACTCTGAACAAGGCAGATTATCCTCCATAACGTGGGTGGGCCTCATCCAATCAGTTGCAGGCCTTAATAGAAATGGACTGGTCTTCTGAAGAGAGAACTCTGCCAGCAGAGTGCCTTTGGACTTGAACTGCAGCATCAGTTCTTCCCCAGGTCACCAGCCTGCCAGCCTACCCTGCAGATTTTGGACTTACCAACCTCCACATATGGATTAGCCAATTCCTTAAACAAATGTTATCCATCTATCTATTTATCCTATCGGTCCTGTTTTTCCGCAGAACCAGACCAACACTATATTTATTGGCAAATTCTAAAAATGAAACACCCTTACCTTAAAGGATTTTTTTTCAAATGAACACTGAATTCCCACCCACCAGATTCTTTCATTCAACAAATACCGGAGAGCCCAGGCCATGGCAGATCGGCGCTGGGAACTTCAGATGCAACAGAAAACACACACCACACACACCAAAACCCTGCCCTCCTGGGGCTTGCATTCTAATTGGGAGAGACAGTGAATAATAAACAATAAGCAAATCCCTGAAGGGCTGATTAAGGAAAATGATAGTAGGATAAGGGCTCAGGAGCACAGTTTGTGGGTGTGAGAACGCGGGACCCCACCTTGCCAGGACCCCTCAGCGTGCTGTGGTCCAGGAGAGGGCGGCTGTGGACACAGTGCAGGGGCTCCCTCAGCTGGGTCGCCTCCTGCCCCAGTCCCCAGTCCCCAGTCCCCAGCCCTGGGCCACCACAGCCCCGGTGGAGAGGACGGCCAGGGAACTAGGAAGGGGGAAGACAACTTAGGGGGTAATTACCTTTTCTTTCCTCTATGGAAGGGCAACAAGGAAAAAGCCATTTCGTGGTCTGGAAATTCTTAGCCAAGACTGATGAGGAGGTTCCCAAGCCAGAATTGAAGCTTCCAATCACCATCTATTTTATTTTATGAATTTTAAAAACAGGTGTTTCAATGCAGAGCTCATAAAAGCTAAAAGGAATTTGATGGCCTCGACTCGCTTTGGTGGATTCAGAGCCACCCGCGGGCCAGCTCAGGGCCTGGGAAATGCCACCAGTGGAAGGGAGCGGAGTAAGACATGTCTGAACAGGCGCTTAGGAATGAGGGTTCCCCTTAAATCATTGCAGTGTAAAGATTTTTAAAAATGGAAAAAAATTGGAGATGATTTTCTCTGTCCTCTGACCAAATGCCAAAGCTTGTTTTTTAAAATCTAGAAGCTGGACAGTCATCCAGCTTCTGCCTGGATGGCAATACTGATGAGTAACCCACTCCCTCCCGCCCCCACTGGGACACGGGCTCCGATTCGTGTCTGCTCTCTTTGGTAAAAGTACTTCGGCCGAGTCTGCCGTTCTATTATTTATACCCGGTTCTAGCTGTGCAGCACACTGGGAGCAAATCGGACATTTTGATTTCTTTTTCATGAGACATTCTCCTTCACATGTCTCAGCGCACTCCCT